AGTCTTACAAAGCCACACAGTAGTTTTCCAAGTGAAAGTTGTATATCCCATGCCTCCTGCGGGGTAATTAGTGGAGCCCTCTTAGGCGAAAGCACCGTGATGCCCGGTTGGATGAATCAAACTGGTACATTGCGCAACCGGAATTGTCTTGTTAATTTATGTTGGCAGGCATCGCCCCTCGCAATCCACCCAGGAGCAAGGCGCAAGAACGCGCAAGGGCTTGCCTCGATCATATCCCAAGGTTGGCCTTTTAACGTTCTTCTTCATCGCAGGTGCTAGTCAAGGCCTCAGCTAAGGGATGCTGAGGGCTAGAGAATGGAGCAGGGGTGTTGTTGCACTGAGCCTTTGGTGCAACACCCCGTGGCCCGTTTGTGATCTTGCATTGCCTGTCCGGGATGGGGGGAGACTAACGTTGTTAGTCATGCTGTAGACCTAGGTGGCCCCAGATAGACTTCCACCAAAAGTTGGCTGGGAGTGAACGGGGCTGCCACCCCTTACCTCCAAACCGAGCCACGAACCGAGCGGCTTCTGAAGGCGGCATGTTCCACGCCTCGGTGGCAGTCTTGCCCTCCACAAGCTGCATGTTACTTGGCCCTGGCTCGGGCGATCGACTGCGTGTCGTTTTGCGGGCCTGCAGCGCCCATTGAGCAACATGTGGTGTTTTCTGAGGGCAGTCTTTCTGGGGTTGCTTAGTTAGTCAGGGAAGCCAAAGAGAAACACACTCATTGGCTTAGTGCTTTGCCTCTCCCCCAGTTTGAGACACGTTCATGTAGGAAAGAAGGGAGGTGACAGAGTTTGATGCGTTCTGGCCGGCGGCAAGGTATGCAGTTCTGCTCGGCTTCGGCGCTTGGCTGCGGGGCTACTACGGCGTTGGCTTGACCTGTGGGCGTGCTGGCTGCAGAATGTGGTTGGACTCAGGCTCCAGTGCCAAGCCAATGGGGCACCAGACCTGGCTCTCAGAGTTGTTCCCTTACCGCTTTGGGATGTTCACCATTCATTGTGACCGGAATCTGGGAACATTAGCTAGGATCTGCCACTTGGGTCACTCGGGCCACTTTCCTGCGACCAAAATTGATTAGATTCAACCTTGGATCACTTGGGCCACTTGGGTCATTTTGGAACGATTGCCGGATGCCTACTGATATGGTAGTTCTTGCTTAGGGGATTGACCCCAGCCGTGCAACTAGGGGAAGCGTGTTTCCTGCTTACCATCTCACCTGTATGCGCCGCCAAGCCTTCTTTGAAGCCTGACACTGCAGGCATGCAGCCTGGGGAAGGCTAGCAAATGGACAGGGTTCCTGAGCAATGACTCGGACACGAGTTTTTTCGGGCTGGTATGGCCGCTGCCTGATCAGTTGAGAAACCCTTTGAACACCGGCATTCCCATGATAAACCGCCTGCCAGCTGCACTGTGCCCACGTCATAGTAGATCAGGGCCCGTACATCACCCCTCAAATGGGCCAAGCAAGTGGTCCTGCGCCTACAGTTCCTTCGCGGTGCTCCTGGGCATGGCGGTGGCGGCGCCGCGCGGGGCCCCAGTGTCAAGGGCGGACTTCTCGATGCGAGGTTGCCGCCGTTGGTTGGTTGGTCGGTCGGTTGATTAATTGGTTGGGTCGGGTGGGTGGGGTGGGGGTGGGGTGGGGTGGGGTGGGGTGGGGTGGGGTGGGGTGGGGTGGGGGGGTAGGGTGGGATGAGCATCAGCACAAAAATTGTCAGGGGATCAACAAACATATTTGGGATCAAAAACACATTATCGAGACCTAGTCTCCTGGTCTCTTCTTAGTCTCCCCGGGTCTCCTAGTCTCCCAGTCGCTTAGTCTCCCAGTCGCTTAGTCTCCCAGTCTCCTGGTCTCCTGGTCTCCTGGTCTGTGGTCTCTTGGTCTCCTGGCCTCCTGTCTGCTCTCCTACCCTAAACCGACCCTAAACCAAACCCCCACACCCTAAACCATCCCAAAACCAACCTACAAACCAACCTTGAAACCAACCATGCACAACTTTCAAACTAGCCCTAAACCGGCCCTCAACCCACCCTAAACCTACCCTAACCCAACCCTAAACCCACCCTAAACCCTAAACCAACCCTAAACCAACCCCAAGCCGACCTTAAACCGCCAACCCTAAATCAACCCTAAACCAACCCTGAACCCACCCGAAGCCGACCTGAAACCCACCCGCCCTTAACCTACCCTAATGCCAACCTAAAGCCGCGTGTGCAAATGAGTTTGTTTTCACTGAACGCACCGATGCATTACGCATGCACGCGCAAGCGCAAGACCTGCAAGTAGCATAGTTGACCAAGGGCTTCGTGGTAGGATGATGATGATGTCTCTGGCATACGTGTCGGCCAAGTCTCAGAGAAGCAGCAACAGTTTGCAGCAATTAAGTCGTGCCTCTGAACACAGCTTGCAAGGGGAAGTGTGGGGAAGGCGGCTGCCGCGTGGGTTCTGTCAATTTTGCAAGTAGGGGAGCGCCGCGCTTCTAGTAAAGTGGGACATGTTAACGCGGGTGTGAGCGGAAGCAACGCAACGCCCAGGATGTTTGTCCCCATGGGCGTGGCGGCTTTGCATCCCGAGAACCTGGGCTTTCTACGACGCTTGGCCATGGGGCGAAACCACGTCCCACGAGGTCTCGGATCATAAGAATGTCCTGCAGCCGCCATTTGGCGGGTTTTCCCTTACTTAAATGGTGCATCAGACAGTTTGGGCCACATCCTTTCAGGACCTGTGGTCTGGCATCTCTTCCTGGCGATTCCATAAGCCTTTTGTCCCGTTTCTTTTCGGCATGGAACAATTGGACCATGCGTTTTGTCTAGGTCATAGTTCAATAGTATCTGTTGATCCGGCTTTTCCCCAAGCGAACGACAATATGTCAATTCCAGGTTTGCGCTTGAAAAACGACGCACTCTCCAAATGAAGCAGAGGTGGTAAACTGAAACCCCTAAGCAAGAAATACAGTCAAACAAATGGTGGGGGGGGGTCAACATAGCCCTTGCACGTCCAGAGGCAGCATGGCTTTCTGATCTTCGATTGTCGGGACCACTCGCTTAAGCCTGGCTTCCAAGATCGAGTTTCATTCGCAGCAGGTGTAGGATTACTTTCGGAAAATAGATGGAGTCCGCTGGCGCAGCAGTACATTAGAATCAACGTGACAGTAACAGCAGTGCCTTCCATCCAAACAACTATTGAGTCCAAGGCCACAAGTGAACCAATTTCAGCCCAGTGTTCAATGCCGTTCCAAATGGCCACCTAAACGCCACGTCACTTTGAGGCGTTTCAGCCCTTGCCATCGGCGCTTTGGGCGCCTTCGCAGGGCTGCCGACGCTGCTGGACACGAGTTGCTCGGAGTCGGCGCGGGCGGCTGCGTCTTTGGGTTGAAACACAGTCCCTTGAAAAGGGGTTGCGGACCATTGTTGATTCAACCATTCCCCCCTTATCCCGCCAACGAGCAGGCAAATAGACAAGATTTATATAAGATTTCATTAGCCCCAATGTGCAATTGCGCCATCCAGGCGCCCAAGGCTCGAGAGGCATCCAACCAGTGATTGGCATGCTTTCTGGTTGCACCGCGCATTGCAGGCTCGGCAATTGGTAGCGTGTGGCAGTGCCAGTCTCCCAGGCTACTATGGCACGAGCCGCCCGGTGTGGGCGAGGCTGAGTTGCAGAGAGCTGGCTTGAACGGCTGAGATTGTGGAAACAGACGGGCGCCAGCCCTGGCGCCCTTGATGCCTGGTTCAGATTGAGTAAGCGCGAGGCCGCCCTTTCGGGTTCAAAGGCCCGAACTTGAGTGCTGGCACGCTAGCAATGACCGGCAGACGTGCCTTGCATAGAACGCTTCTTGAGTCAGCTGAGGATGGGGAACCACCTCCTCTACAATTTCGGGGTGGGAGGTGGAGCCGGCGCTGACCTCTATGGCACCGAGCCGTGGCACTTCTACGCCAAGAGCCCCTGCGGCAGGGGCTCGGCTGGCTGGCTGGCTTTTTCAAGCCACCACATACGCGAAATCAACATGCCGCAGAAAAGCTCGCTTATGAACAGGGTTTTGTCGAAGGCGGACATGTCCGCCTTTGTTCCGCAAATGCCACAGGGGCTGGGGGAAAGAAGGTGCCTGAGCAAGGAAACAACTCTATGGTCGCAACATCATAAATTCATGCCCGCTCACTATTTTTGTCAGCCCATATCAGCCCCAACGTTGCAAGTGCCTTTGCAATTGTCCAGGCTGCGCCTTTTCAAGAGCGCCACTACCAAGGCCAAGCGCTTTCACTCAGCCCTGGAAAGGTCTAGAACGATGGTGTTTTTAGTTGTGCGGCATGCGTCGGTGTCTTGGCAGATGCACCCTGCAGATCTACCCCTTAGTGCCTTTCAACTGAAAGGGTGGTCGCTGATCAAAAGGGGATGGGCGCTTCTTCTTTTTTTGACCCGGGGGTATTCCGCCCCTGTCCGCCGGAGCTAGGGGACAACGACGTCACGAGGAATAAAGTGCCTTTTCCCAAAATTGGCAGAGATTCCTGCCCGAAGGATCTTCTAGGTAAGATAGACAGATTTCGGAGCACGTACTCTGATTTGTCCAATCTGGGTTATGTAAGTAGGACCTGGATTGCATTGCACCAAGTCGGCTTGTTTCAGGCTCCCAATGCAACCCCTGACTATGGGCAAGAGTGAAGCAGAGAAGACAATAACTTGTTCGTTTTGCTTGTGATGGTGGGACCTTGCCCAGCTGATCAGGCCTGCCGTCACCCCGCAGCAGGTCCCAGGAATGCATGCTTCCGAACCCCTGGCTGGGTCGATTTTCTAGTTCAGCATGCAATTCGCGAACTAGGCTGGGGCACTCTGAATCCTTCAGCTGCCATGCCAAACGCAAGAAACGCCCCCGCAAGGAACCTTCTGCTCAATTTCAACTTTGTCGCAGCGTTGGCTTTGCCAGCGCTTTGCCTGGCTGAGCGGCAGCTGGCGATCAAGCTGCTGCCCATGTACGTGACTCTGGTGCCTTGGCCGGGCTAGGAAGCCTTCGCAGAGTGGCGATGCAAGCCAGGTGAAGGCACACGTGCCCACTCTTTTGGTCACCATGTCATAGTTGCCCTTGATTAAGCTGCCAACTTCCAGCAGCTCGATGGATGAGCTCCCTGATGAGCCATGCCACGGCACAACTTGCCCTTGCGTTGCGCAACGTGCTGCTAGACGGGCATGCCTGGTACCCTGTTCTTTTTTACTTACCTGGCGTCTAGGGCCGGAATCAATTGGCCCCCTCCTCCCAGCAATGGCTCATCAGTCCGGGGCAACCGCGGCAGATCGCATGATATCCCATGCGCATGTTGTTTTTCCGCTCGCAAGGCCATGTTTTTCAAGATGGCTCACAAAGAGGAGCGCCCGAGCCCCAGCAAGGTTTCTCCACAGTGGGGAGCCTGAACTAGGAGAGAAGCCCGGGCAAAAATGAGAAAGCTGTAGGCCTGGAAGCGGTTGTCCTTTCAGACCCTGCTTGAGCTCAGGGCCATGCGTGTTTTTCAGGGCTAAGTGTTGTTTGTTCTGTCCCTAGCCGAGCAACAGAGCAAAGGATCAGAAGACTCACCCGGTCCATTTTCTGGTTTGAAATGTGTTCAATGAAAAAAGCCAAAAAAAACTCACAGGAGATGGATCCACATCGGCTTTGTTCCTTCTGCACAGGTTGTGGTTCCTGAGCGTTTGCCAACTGCGGATGTTGACAATTGATCCATTACCAAGCTTCGCTTCCACTGGCCAGGATGTGATGCATTGGGCACATGCTCCAAGGCTTCCTTACGATGACATATCCTTTGATCTGCTTGGCGGCTGCTGCTAGGCCGCACTCGCATGCCTCCAATACGACCCGCTCCCGAGTAATCCAAATCAGGGAGTTGAGTCAGTGGATTGGACTGGATCTTGATGCAGCTGCCGTGGGCTGATGTAGCATGTTTCGCCCAGGCAGTGACTGCCGACGCGATCATATCTTGTGTGGAATGGGCGGATGCTCGGCTTGACTCTTCGTGGCTGGCTGGAGCGACCGCTAGCGTGCAGTATGGTGCAGCGTATGGATCCGTTTGTGATGCTGCGCACTTCCACTGGAAGCCGTTGTTGTTTGTGCGCACCTTTGCACCTATGCGCTTGCAACCGTTGAAGCCCAAACAGCAAACAGCCCCCCCAAACAGCCACCATTGGCTTGCCGAGTTGCACGTTGCCGAAGTCTGCCCATGAGGTCAGGTCCTGCCTCAAGGCGGTGGGCATGGCACAGGCCCTTGGCAAGGCACGAGCTGCTCGAGGGCTGCACATCTTGCTGTGGCTGCCGGCGTCGCTGGCCATTGCCTTTGATTTATCGCTACTATCGTTGATTCCATTTTGAATCGAGGCCGCCTGTGCAAGACATTCTCAAAATTCTGAACGCGCGGACATGGAACGTGATGGGGGGCCCCCCACTGCCGCTTGAAAGGGCACAATTCCTTTAGTAGGTTCGTGTGGGTGGGAGGGTAGTGGGCTTTGGCCGCAGGCGGCATTCATCGCTTTGGTGCTGGCCTTCTGGATGCTGTCCCTCTCGAGGAGTGCTGCGTTGGCGCTCTACTTCCGTGCCCCGCTGCAGCTGTATGCGCCCCGGCTATTTATCGAGCAATGTTTGTCGGGCCCAGGGCCTACTGAGAAAAGATGAGACTCGGACAAGGATCCCCCCTGTCCTGATCACCATGATTTTCTGTACAGAGAATGCCTCAATTGTGGAAGATCTGGGACAGGGCAAGTTTATGCAAGTTTAACCTGGCTGCTCACCCAAACCACTGGATCACTAGTAGTCAACCCTACGTTACATACTGGTGTGCAACATCGAGTGGTCGATGACAAGCCAAAAGTAGTCCAGACACAACGCAAAGTGACCTCCAGAACAGTTGTGGCGTCTTTTGTTGCCAGCTCAGCCAACCTGCCACTGGCTTGAGGAGGGGCTGTATTATAGCGCTGCGGACACCCAGGGCCTTTGTGTGGGCAAGGACGGGGACATTGGCAGCCATACGAACAAAATTCGCACACCAGAAGTGAGTTGTAGCGTGTTGCCATTCTGATGTGTCGAAAACTAGGGGTCCTGCCTAGCTGGCTGGTTGCTTTCTTTTGGCTTTTCTCAGCAAAGCCAGAAAGGGGCCCTTTCTCTTGTTGCAACACACCATGTTTCTGGGCCAAAACCGGCAAGACTGTCGAGCAGACAAGCACAGAGAGCATCATGAGCACTTCGAGCAAGGAGTCCTGTCGGCTGGCAGCAAACGATCAGCAATCAGCCAATGCGATCCAATGAGCAGGGAGCAGCAGCACTCCTTCACATTGGGGGGGGTTCGGAGCACCAGGCAGCGCACACATCAATCAAGAAGGGGGTGGTTGCCTCCGTTTGTGAGTTGATTTTTGCACTCACGGGTTCCCCCTTCATTGTATGCAAGCTTTGCATGGCCCATGTCCACCTTGAACCCCCATACACGCCTATTCCTTCCCACCGGGCCAGAGTTGGCGAGTTCCTGACAGGAGTGGTACCGGTTTCCTTCCAGCTTCTTCCTTCCGGAGCTCGAGGCCTGACAGGGCCTGTGAAAAGCTGGGAGCCCAGCTCCTTGGATCTTATGCTTGGTGCTAGCTGGCTTCTTTCAAGATCAGGAATCAAAGCTTGAGAATCTGAATGCACCCGGTGGCCTCCAGCGTCTTTCTCAAATCGCCCAGGCCTCATGCGAATGTTGCGGCCAGCTCTGGATTGACCAAGTGGAAGTTAGGTTCACCAATGGTTCTGAAGATCTCACTGAAGCACCTCCAAACTTTCCCACTAGGATGGTTTACAAGATATTTTGCACAGGATGTTCATGCTCGTGCAAAACGCGCCTCCTCTTTCATGACTGAGACACAAGGCGGAAAATGTGTTGTTTTGTTCTGCCCCGGCGATCGCCATCGCATCAAGCCATGTGCAGCAGCTGCCGGCCGGCGCCATGAGCGATCCTATGGATGTGTTCAACCGCTTCTGTCAGCTGAAGCGGATGACTCCCGTGATCCAGCGCCTTCGCAGCAAGGGCTCGATGGCCGATATGCTCGGTGCATGGTACCTGCGGGAGTGGAGGGGGGTCCCGAGGCCAACCTGGGAGCCTCATGATTTTCAGTGTGGGGTGGGGATAGGAATGTGACATCACAGTGCCTTGCAACGAGTTGCGCCGACACGGTGTTTGCTGCGCTGGCAGTGTCTGTGGGGCCTTGTGCCAAGGTTTGGCAATGAAGGGCAGGCCATCACCTGCTCCATTTCAGTCCCAGGCTGTCCCATTCGGACTGTGGCTTGTCTGAACTGAGCATCAAGCAGTCGCAGCATGTCTTGGGCTTACCTTTTGACCTTGCCAGGAAGGCCTCGGCAGGAACAAGCAGGATGCAAAGCTGAAGGCTACCAACGACTATGTGCAAATCTTGTACAACCACGGCCTCATGCAGACCCCTGCAAAGTTCCAACAGCCTTCCAAGAAGCGGAAAGCTCCATCCATGCCCTCGATGCCCTCCATAATACCGGCCGCCAAGCGTCAGAACACGCAGGTCGCGCCGGGTTTGGCATCGGGGCCTTTGCCAGCAGGCAGGCTGAAAGCCCCGCGCCGGCCGGCCAACGACTCCCAGACGGGGAAGATCGTGGAGTTCTTGAAATCCAATCGCCTGCCCCAGGCCTTGCAGACCCTGCATGACATTGCTAGGGCCTACCAATGCCTCAGCCTGAAGCAGGTGCTTGGTCGTCAAAACGGGTGTTTAAAGTCAAGAAAGCATCAATCTCACCTTGTTCGCGGCCGGCTAGGCCCGATGTTTTTTTTCTTCTAGCCCTTGAAGCACCCCCGAAACAAGACACTGGTACTCACAGCATTCCCACCAAACTAATTATCCCAGTCCTGCTGCGAACTGGCGGCAAGTCCGGTCCGCCCCATGCTGTAGCTATGTTGCCGTCTTGCTCGTGTTGTGGAATTGACAGCCCGAAGCAGGACTGAGCAAAGACACACTAGCCATTATTTGCTGACCCGTTCAAAGGCCATACTTTCAACCATGACATGTTTTACACGTGATGGATTTTGACATAGCCTTAAGTACCCCAAATATGACATCCCCACTTTTAAACATGTTTCGCTGTTTTGCACAATTCGGAATCGCACCGCCACTGCGTCCCAATTCTATGGTTGCAGTGCCCATTTGCAAAGTAGTACCGACACATTCTCAAGTAGCATCGTAACACTGCACAGTTTCCAAATGGCACAGCTGAATGTCAATGCCGCGTTGCCCAGTTCTGACATAGCACTGCCAAATTCAAAGTAGCAGTGCCAAAAACCTTAATTAATTGTCTCCTGCGACTGCTTTCACATGTGTATTGCTGCTGCACCTTTTCCGGCGTGGGCAGTTAATGAGTTTGGTGCTAAATAACTAGCCCAGAATTTGGGATGTGTTGTTTCCCTTAAAGTATGCCATGATAATTCTTGCTTGCATCCCCCCCTGTTTGGCACACTTTCAGGTTTTGGCCCCCGTTTTGACAGGTATAGTAGCCATTGAAAACATTAGCTTTTCCACCAGACCAAGAGGAAACGCCAATGTGGGACGGGTCATGTTCAGGGGGATGCTATGCTCCAGACACTCAGTGATACCCTGGTTGTCCTCCTTTGCTGGACGGGGGGTCCCTCCTGCCAAAGACTGCCGAAGATTTGGTCTAAGACTATCAGGGTGTGCGTGTGTACAAGTCTTCCCAAATTTGGCATTCTCCCCTTGAATCTCTTCTTTAATTAGCTTACCCCCCAAAAAGGGGAACCCACCAAAAACGCCCAGAAGACCCAAACAGGTGCGCTCAAAAGCACTTAGACCCCTTTGGTTCGAGCGAGGGGCAAATACAAAAGCCTGTGTTCACACTTGTTTTTCCGCAAAACAAAACAAAAAAACGCACAGGAAACTGACCAAAGGGGGCTTTCCCTTTGTTTCCCACATTTTGCTCTGAAAACAAAGCAGAGGGATGCCCCCAACAAAGACACACTCCGAATACCCTAGGTGGCCAAGTTCGCGGACTCCCTGGGCATGCGCACCAGCGAGGCCGGGTGTCGGGACTTCTTCGACGCCATCGATGCCTTGGACTTGGCGGAGTTCCCCTCGTACGCGGGGCAGAAGTACTTCGGGCGCGGCTGGGCCGAACCCCAAAATGGCTCAGGCAAACGTAAACAAATCAATCAAGAGAGGGAGAGAGAGAGAGAGAGTGAGATACATATATATATATATATATTATACATATTTTATATTACTAAGTATAGACATAGATAGATAGATAGATAGATAGATAGATAGATAGATAGATAGATAGATAGATAGATATATATACATATACATCTATAAAAATACAGAACATGTATAAACGATCTATCTATACGTATCTATGTATAAATATTTATGTACGTGGATGAATTTATGGCATCCTTGGCCTTGGCCTGGGTTTGACAATTGACCAAAGGCTTTGCCCGGTGGGCGGTGCGGGACTTCCTGGCGGACGCGGGTGGGGCCATCAACCAGGCCAAGATGCTGCCGCTGCCGGTGCTCGAGCGCAACGGGTGCTGCCTGCAGCTGGAGGCGTGCCCTGGGAGCAAGGCGCGCTTCGGAACTTCAAAGGGGTACCCGGTTGCTTTTAACCACCTGGTTTAAGCCACCGTTGTTTTAACACCCCCTTTTTGTCCTAAGGGGCACCTGATTGGGGCTGGTTGTTCAAACCAGCGCTGAAACCCCTGCGATCAAGGCGTCGCAGCTGTTGCTGAAGCCCTCGGGCCCCATCCCACAGCACAATTTCCAGAAAGGCCGCAGGGTTGGAAATGCGCACGTCGATAAAAGTAACCCCTGGTGTGCTGAGGGAATGCGGCACATAATGGCTGTCTACTTGAATTTTCTGTGCATATGAAAGTGCTATTCAATTTTTCCGGCTGCCATTGCGAACGGTCCGGTACAAATGGGGTATGACAACGAACCAGACCCGGTTCCCTCTCAAAGAAAACCAAAAGGAGGGTGGTCAAACAGTGGTTGAAACCATTGATCAAACAAGGCCTTGACTCGCCCTCAGGCGACTGGGTGTTGCTGACCTGCCCTCACACGGCAAAGCCCAGTGAGAGCACGCAGGGCTGGGGCGCATTGTGCGTAGAGGCGGAGGTGGTGGCAAGTTTCTCCTTCCCAGAGCCCCAGCTGGAGGCAGGGAAGCAGATTTTAGGGAATTGGTCGCTTCATGGCATTGAAGAGAACTTGCTGAACCGACCACAGCTGAGAGTGTTTGACTTTGGTATGCCATTAAACAGAGGGCTCTCCTCTTTGGACTTCCTTTGGCTTCCCATTGGTTTCAATGACCATCCATGACCCCAAGAGCACCTATTTACTTGGCCCCTTACAGGGAAAAACCTGAGGGGTTCTGACAATTACTATGTTGGGCTGGCCTCCCTTTAGCCCACCATTTGTCGAGGCTGATTCTTAAGATGCCACTTTCATGGACCCAGAGCTCAGCCCTTGGCGTGAGGTCAAGGTCATGGGCGAGGCCGTGGATGTCACGGTGCAGAAATTCCTTCGTCAGCGCGTGCGGTTGGACAAGGTGGCGAACCACGTGACGCTGAGCCGGCAGCTGGAGGCCAGGAACTGGTCGGCATAGACAAAAAGGGTGTTTTTTTTGAGACCCTTTCTGTAGTTAGAACCAAAAGGAAAACATATGAAGCCTTTCTTCTGGGATTCCCACAGCCAGATGTGTCTCAACCAGGCAGAAAGCCTCGCTTGCCATCGCTTGCCTAAAGAAGAACAAGACCTTTCGACCTTTTATTTCCCTTCTGCTTTGGTCCGTAGTTTGAGCAACGCTTGCAAAAGATGCGCCTTTGATGCCCAGGTCCTTCAGCTCATCTACGTTTACAAGAGGGTTCTTCAGAAGCGGGATGGTGTTTAAGACTCCTTTATGGCGCCCTTTATTTTGGGGATCCAAGTAGGGATGCTTTGTTTTGAACAAAGGGACCCCTGGAGGCACTGCAAAGGGTGTGCAACGTGGAGCCCATGCAGCAGCAGGGGTCCTGGAACCCACATCTCATTGTCCAGGCCATGCGCAAGGCCAACAACAACAAGGACTGGAGTGTTGACTCGTCAGCTTCGTGCGATGAAGTATGCTTTTGCCCGATTGTTGGCTACATGTGCTGAGAAAGCATTTGAGTATAGGTCGTCGGGGGCAGTACCCTGGTGATCCCGTGTTGGGCCACACGGGCGACGTGGGCCGGACATCAAGTCCTGGGCCCAGGGCCGTAAGGTGAACCTTCCTTTTGGCGAGGTGTTGTTTGAAGGGGGGCAAAAGGCAGAACTCTACCCCCCCTTCGTTTTTGTTTTTTTTTTTTTGGGGGGGGGGGGGTTAAACGGGGAATGGCAGATGCCTGGAAGAACCCCTGAGGATGCGAAGGAGCCCACCTGGGTGAAGCATTTGCTTTTGTGCGGCGACTCCGCCCATGCGGGCCGGGAGCCGGATCTGGCAGCCCAGGAGGTGCCTGGCCTGTCGCCCCATCATCCTATGCTCCTGGAGGCGAACGAGTCCCAGCGCAAGGCCTTGCTGGAGGCGGCCGGCGGCAGGGATCCAGATTTGGGATTTGGGTGTGGCTCAAGATGTTTTTTTTTTTAGGCAGGGGTTGCGCAGGTTTTGGTCCATGTTTCCACTTTGGTTAGGCTAATGGCTTCTTAAAGTTAACAAATGCCCTATGAACAAAAGGTCTCACTTTTAGGACCGCCAGGTCATTTGGGGGTCATCTCTCCCAACCCCAGGCCTCTGCATGTCAGATGGCGCTGATTCAGGGCCCCCCGGGCACGGGCAAGACCACCACCGCCCTGCTGCTGGTGCGGGCTTGGGTGGCGGCCAGGCAGCGCCCGGTGCTCTGCGCGGCGGATAGCGGCCCAGCAAAAGCCATGCCCCGGCGGCGTTTGGCGTCGCTTTGTGTTTTCCCTGTGCGTGTTTTGTTTTCGGTGCCGGAAACGGAGATGCCCTTGGAGAGTTGATCGTCACTTCCCCACGAAAGGCAACATGAGAAGTGCGGATCGTGAGCGATGAACATGACGTCGACCGTTGAACGCGTGCCGCTTGTGGCAGGTAACATCGCGGTGGACAATTTGGTGGACGGCTGTGCCAAGGCCCAGCTCACCGTGGTCCGGGTGGGTCGGCCTGAGGCAACCCGCCCAGATCTGGAGCAGTACAACTTGCTGCCCAGCCTGAAGATCCCCCAAAGAATTTGGAGGGCTAAGGATTAGGCGAGTTGTGTCAAGTTTCTTCAGAGTGGACGGGAGGCATGTTTCAAGATGGTCCACATCCATGATGGTTGGACAGAGGGCCGGTTGGGTCTATATGTTCAACATTGCACAAGGCTGCTCAAGTTTTGAGACCCTTTTTTTGGGGGGGGTTTGCTCCGAGCCATACTAAGGAAGGGGTGAGGACGGGCCCCAACCAGTTTTTCCATCCAAACAAAGGATGGAGAACAGCCTAAATTTCAACTTTTACTGGTCGGAAGCAAAGTCAGGGGTCCCAGAATTAGCCTAGCTGCTGAGCGGGTTCCATCCTATAAGCACCATACTTGTTTGTCGCCCCCAACCCCCATGTTTTTGCACAGTTCCATTCACAATTTGGATCTTTGTGACCTGTGGTTCCCATTGTGCATTGGTCCGTTTTGAGTGCTTGTGCTGTTGATTTCTTGGCTCATGATTCCAATTCTGTGTGGTTACTGTAAACAGTGTCGATTGGGCAAATTTCATTTAGTTTCTCTCCGGTGGGGTCATTCCGTGGTAAGTTGAATGCCCCCCTCGACCAGTGTGATTGGTGTCCAACCAGTTGAAGATAGTTGAAGCGCTTGCCCATGCGGAGTTTGCGCTGACCTGATGACTAGCGGATATATAGTAGCTTTGTAACCCCAAAAGGAACCAGCACATCCTTTTGTCATACCATATGCATTTGGTGATGTTTGGTCAGGCTGGGTCCGTTGGTCAGCTTCCTTGGTGCTAAATAGTCATACTTGTTCACCAAAGGAAAGTGAAGAGGGATTGACAATTGAGCTGGTTCCCCCTTTTTCAGTTGACTATTTGATAACCTATTGTTAATAAATTGGTGACTAAAGGGAGTGCTAAATAGCTCATTTCCCCTTTTTGGGGCACCTCCAATGGGCACCTCTCCCGATTTTGGGGCCTAGGCTGGACATGGTGAAGGACACCGAGCCCAAGCAGCAGTACGGGGCGCAGCGCAGCATTCTGGGCCGGGCGGATGTGGTTTGCACCACCTGCTCGGGGGCGGACCACCCGCTGGTGCAGCACCTGAGCTTTGCCCGGGTGTTGCTAGACGAGGCGGGTTTAGAAAAAGAAAAGGCACCTCAATCTCTTTTCTGAGTAGGCCATGTTGGATCTTTCCAAAAGGAAGCCAAAGGGGTGGGCAATTGTTGTTTTTGTTCAACTCCCCTATTTGATTAGTACCCGCTTTGCTTTTTGGCGGTTCCATTGCAACCCACCAGTCAGTTGCAGCTTCGAAAGAGGACATGAACCAACATTTTAGCAGATTTGAGTTTACTTGCGATCCCATTGCTACCCCCGGCACCCCTTCAAGAGGTTGGGAATACTCGTCTTATTTGTGGTGAATGCTGGTAGGTTGTCCCAGGTCCAGGACACTTCTTGACTTGCGAGAGAGCTCGCAATTATAGGAAAGTGCCCCATGCCTCCAGAGCGAAAGAAGAGTAGGGGGTAACCTTCCTGCAATGAACTTCTACCAATTTCAAAGTTGGGGCCTTTGCCGTCACGTTGGTTGAAGCAGAACTGAAGCCGGTGAATCATGGATGTACTGGCGGGACACAACAGTCTCCTAGCGGACATGGAATCAAGATGCGTGCAACTGGTCAACCATGAACAAATTCACCCACTGAGGTAATCCCAAATGGCTAGCAACCCGGGTGACAAGGTTTCAAAGGGGGCTTGAGGGGGGGCGAACTTCAAGGGGCAGGGTACTTGTAAGTGCTTAGTAAGCTTGGTTACAGCTCACTTAGGAGACTTACGACCATGGTAAGTGTTTTCTTTCCAGGCTTGCAAACTGCTTACTAAGTACAATGCCCGTTTAAGGAGCCATTTGGCTGCCTCCCGCGCCACCCAAGCAAGCGAGGCAGCACAGGCGACTGAGCTGGCCACACTGGTGCCGCTGATGAAGCTGCGGCCGGAGGGCTGTGTCACGCTGGCAGCCTGTCAGCCAGTCAGCCAACCCGGCTGTATCCCTTGTCTTGGGGCTACCCTTGCCCCCTTCTTTCGACAGAGAAGATAAATGTAACAATTATCTATTGTTTTACATACACGCATGATTGGGCCCCCTTGTTCTTTCCTTTTTCGACAACCCCCCTCCGACAATCATGGAAGCTGACAGGACAGGACTTGCCTTTAAGGGGGACCTCCCTTGTCGAATTGGAAGACGACACCCTCAAAGTGAAGTTACTTGGGATTTGGCCGGTTCCAATCTCAAAAACGTGTTGACAGCGGAAACCTCGAGTTTCCTGGGCAGCCTTTGCGCCGGTTTGGCGCATGTTTGGCCAAGGTGGGGGACCACCGGCAGCTGCCGCCCACAATCTCTAACATTGATATTGACGCTCGGATGTCGGTGAGGCAACGACTCTAGCACTTGGGGTTTGCACCTGTTTTGTTGTTGTTGGTGTGCGTTTAGTGGTAATGTCCGTTCCTTGCCCGGGCAGATGTTTGTCACAATTGTCCCCAAAAGTTTTGCTTGTTCCGCGTCGGGCGAGGATGTGGAGGGCTTCGGCACCTCTCTCTTTGAGCGGCTGACCACTCAGGGTATCCGGCCGCACCTGCTCACCGTGCAGTACCGCATGCACCCCTGCATCTCCACCTTTCCGTCTGGTATGTTCTACAAAGGGCAGATCAGATCAGGTGAGCCGGCGCCATTCAGAAAGCGTTTTGGCTTGCTTGCCGACTTCATCTTTGTGTCCAGCCCTTGAAGCAAATCTTCCCATAGGCGTCCTTTTTAGGTTAGCTAGAAATAGATGGCACTGGCTTAGATTGGTTTTATTCCATTTGCTAGGGCCATCTATTTTCCAAAAGGGATACCTATGAATCTTCCAGTCTTCCTTCCGCTCGCCCAAGGCAGGCCTTGGCTCAGCTGAGGTGTGACGGGTGCGGCTCGGCGCCCGCCGCAGGGGATCTATTGGCCGGTGCCGGAGGTTCCGGTGACCTTCCTGCCGGTGCAAGGCCTTTTTTTCTTTTGTTGTGTGTTCCATTGGCCGGTAGGAAACCCGGAAGTAATCCGGTCCTTGGCCCTCAAAAGGACGGTTAGATCGTTTTTTGGGGGCCAACTTTGCCTGCAATCTCTGGGAGCTAGCTGCTAGCCCCCGCCTTTTCTTCTTCTTCTTTTTTTTTTGTTTTTTTTTTTTTTTTTTTTTTTTTTGGGGGGGGGTCCAGTTGCAACCATACGGTCATACGACGTCAGAATCCGGTCGTCATCTCCAGGCCGGGAGTGTCCGGAGGGCACCTCCTGGAGCAACTCCTCGGAGGTGGAGGCGGTGCAGGCGGTGCTGGACAGCCTCCTGGCCTGGGATGACATCCAAGCGGAGGATGGGTGGGGGCTGTGGGCCTATGGGGGCCGCGGGGGGGGGGAGGAGGAGCTGGGGAGCCGGGGGTGCCCTTTTCGTTGCTGTGGAAGTTGGGACCTGCAATTGGGGCTGGAGAAAATGGAAGTTGGTGCTGGTGCCTTTATTGTTGGATATTGTTGGGAGCTGGTGCCCTACTTTTGTGGGTGTGGTCAAAAAAGGGAATGCCCGGCAAAGACCAAGGATTTTTGGGGCTCTCGCCATTTCAAGCCTTTTCACAGCAGCCTGACAACACAAATATCCCCGTGGAGGGGGCAGGGAAGGGGAGGCAAGAGGAAGTAGAAGGAGGAAAGAAAAAGCACGGGGAGCCTTTCAGTTTCAATTCTTGAAAACTTGTCAGCCCTTTAGCCAACTAAGAGCTTCAATAGCGGGTTCTCCATGTTGAAGATGTTGATTGCTTGTTGTGTTGTTCACGTGCGTTTGCGTTTGCATTTTGTGTGTTTGTTTTTGTGCTTGTGTGTGTGCATATGCGTCATTCATAGTTGTGTGAAATTCCTTGGGTTGTCATGGCAGGCAGGCAGTTTTCCGGACAGTTTTCGCAACAGTTTTTGAACGGGCATCAAGTAGCCGGCGCATGCTCGCTAGCTGGCGAAAAGGGGATGGGAAATTCTTTGTTGCGCCCAGGCTGAAAGCCCTCGGGTCTTCGCCCAGATAGGCTCTGGTGGTTAGGGGCAGCTTTGAGGGAGGTTTCCGGACAGGAATTTCCGCTGTTGGTACGCCCTTCCAACTCCTTCCCCCCCTCGCCCCCTCCCCCCAACCCCTCTCCCCCAACCCCACACCCGGTTTGTTTGGCCTTCAGGAGGTGGGCATCATCACGCCCTACGCAGCCCAGGCCCGGCTGCTGCGCCGGCGCCTGGGGTGCCCCGCACCGGGCCGGCGGGCGCTGGCGGCGCGGCCCACTGGGCCGGCGGCGGTGGAGGTGAGCTCGGTGGACGGCTTCCAGGGCCGGGAGAAGGACAGGGGCTTCAGGTCTCTTTGGTTTCCCTTGGGGTAGATGCGGCAAGTGGTGAGAGTGAGAGCCTGGTGAGGAATAGAGACTTATGTCCATGATTGTTGAATTATTCCCATGGTTTTTGCCCACTTGTTAAGTACCCGGTCCCCCTTTAAGGAAAGGACAACCCAATTGTCAGGGGGGGGCCCTACTGTGGATGGATGTTTGTTTTTTCTTTTCCGCAACACCATTTCAGAAACCCTGGAATTATGATTTGTCCTGTGAATGCCAACCAACAATGGTTTCTCACGGTTTCAATTTGGTGCAGGTTCGTACATCCACAGCGTTTCAACACAATTCTAGCGAGGGCAATTTGCTGGGACCTCACTCACGAAGAGATCTGGTTTTCGACCGAAACTCATGAATAAGGTGTGTTACTTGCGGATTCCTTGCAGTGGGGACGCTTAACGGCGATCTGTCCCCAGGCCAAGGGGATAGGAGGGCACGCTCCCTTCAATGCATTTGGCGGTGTTGTGTTGCTTCAAAGGACGTCATAATTGTCACGACGGTGCGGGCCAATGCTGCCGGCAACGTGGGCTTTGTGGGCGACCCCAGGCGGCTGAATGTGACCCTAACCCGGGCCAAGCGCGGTTTGGCATCTCGGCTGCTCGCGTTTTTGTGGCAAAACGCAGGGGCTGGGCTGAGCAGTCTGGGGGGCTGCAGCACAAGGTGGCTCCGGGTTGGGTGGAGGGTCAGTTGTGTGAGATGGTGGCTGGGGCAGGAGGCCGGGGAGTGCTGGCTATCTCTGGCGGGCTGAGTTGCGGGAGTCGGCTGGCATGGCTCGCTCCGTGAAGCATGCGCTGGCTAGCTTAACTTTGGGCGCTGCAAGCTTGGCTGAGCTTGGGCGTTTGGAGCGCGATTTTGAGCATGCGAAAGGGGCAATCCGGGCTTAAGGTTGGGTATGGTTTGTCCATATCATGTTTCTGTATGGGGCGTCGTAAAACCAGACACCGGGTTGTTTCGATTGAATCTACAGCTTGCGGGGTGACGTTCGAGACTTTGCGTACAAAATCGAGGACATAACTTTATTCGAGGCAGTATACGTGTTTCATTCCATGGGGCCAACAAGTCGGCCAAGGTGGTGGTCGGGAACTTGGAGACTCTCTCCGCTGACGCGGCGGGTTGGTACCCCTGGCTCAACTGGGCGCAGGAGCGCGGTCTGGTGGCAGGCGCGGGGTAGGAGGGCAGTCGTGAGTTTGTTTCCTTTTTTGTTTCTTTTTTCTCTCGGTGTATGGCTCAGTCGCTTTTGTTTGGATGAAGCCTCTTTTTCAAATGGCGAGTGTCTAAAGATGGGTTCTGAATAGAGGCTCGTTCACAGGCGTTTTGCATTGCAGTGGGTAGCGCCTGGCTTGATCGCATCGGATCCGATCCTGCGCAATTTGCGAGGTTGCTTTCATGTCCCGATTGGCAAGGTTGTTATACCAGCGCCGTCACGCCGTCTATTCTCGTGCACTTTTTTGCAAGCACTTCCCTCGTAGTTCTGGTGATGTTATACGTGCGGTAGGCTGGGTTAGGGTGAGCTCAGGAGTTGATCGGGATTTGTTTGCTTGCTGATTCTTGATGTATGGGGCAGGGTTTGAGCAAGGACTTATTCACTGTTTTTGATATCACGCTTTGTCTGAGGGTGGATTAGATCGACAGGAGGTTGATTTGGGCTGGCGGTCGCCTCATGCTGGGGATGGGTGTGAGCGTTGGTTTTGTTTGGCTGGGTTTAGGCTTCGTTTGGGAATTGCTTCAGCTTTCAGAGAGCCAAACAGCCGATAAACATCAGCAACGTTTTGCTCTTCTTGATTTCAGGGCCAGTGGCATGTCATGTTTGGTTAGTGGCAAAAGCTTAGGAAGCCTAATCCATGCCTAATCCAACTCAAAACCCACCCTGAACGAAAGCAACGCCATTCCGAAAAACTGTAAACTGTTCAAGGTCCAGTGCCAGTATTTTGCGGAGTTGCTCTCACCAAGGGCTACCAACGAGGCTTATTTCGTGCATTGCGACTTCCCCACAGGATCCAGCAATGTTGAGGAAAAGGGGCAAACACCGGTTTTGCTGTTCAGTTTACATCCGTTTTCCCAAATGGGGGGAAGCGACGAAATGACTTTGCAACACCCGCCGACGGGTGCCTGAAGAAAGGAACCACGAGCGCACGTCCCCACTTGGCATGAATGAACATTGGGGACCTTTTCGCGGGCATGATTTACATAGGGGATCTATGCACAACACCCGGCGTTGGAACGGTTCCTGATTTACGATCATCCCCATTTTGAGGCCACACCTCCCTTCGTGTATGACTTGTCGCCTTTATCATACGGCGCCAGGCTGTGAGCCTACATTGCCGGATGCTGCGGAGGCCTGTGCTGGTTTGCGTGAGCTTTCCCGAGTCATACATTTCGAGCCGTTATATGGGTTTGTTCTTGTTGAGGGAGCAATTTTTGCTTGTTTTTTTCCCAGCCCCTTTGGAGTGAAAAGAGTCGTGTCTAAACTTGACCCAGTTTGGCTCCCAAGCTAACCCAGCAAGCAACCAAGTGTTGGAGTGGTCGCTGCATGTCACCAATCGAGGGGTCAGCCAACGCCCATCCATTTGCATTGCCTGTCCAAGAAATGAAGGTTCGCGATTCAACGCTTTTGAAGCCTGTTGGGTACAAGGCTGTCTTATTTCCGACCCGAGCAGGCATGCCGCTCCCCAAAATCAGACACAGGGCGATGATTTTTTGTGAGCAGTCCAAAGCCGTTACATTGTCCAAAGCTCATCCCCACAGCTGCAAGGCCCTGAAGAAGTTGGGCCAGCTGTCAGAGTCGCAGCTCTTGCATGTCTGACGCGAAAAGGATGCGCGTGAGGGAGGAAGGGGAGGGAAGCCCCGGAGTCTTGCAGTGCAATTTTGGCAAATGGCCAAGTGTATGCATGTGGCGTTCACGGGCTGGAGCGTTCACGGGCTGGAGCGTGTTCAAGTGGACTTGGATGTAGTGGGCTGGGGCAACGTTTGGGAAGCAGCAGCCTTAAGAAACGCGGGCTGTGTCAAAATTTAGGCATTTGGACATTGTGGGTCATGCTAGCTGCCTTGTTTACAGTGATCCAAGCAGATGTTCAACCAGGTCCCAGGCGCATGGGCTTCAACAGCCTGCTTGGGCATTGGCCAACGGGATGTGATTCTTTACCCCAGTTTCCATGGAAGAGTGTCCATGTGGCGCTCTTGACATCTTGCACTCCGTGCTCCAGTATTCTTATGCTATATTGCGAGCAGCTCGGCAGCTGCAGCTACCCCGCTCCATGTTTGAACCTTGTGTGGCTGGCCTTCGCGCCCCTAGCAACGTGGCGTCCGGGTTTTCACCTGGAAGGGGTGCTGCCCAGTTTGGCTGAGGCTTTGTGGCTGTGGATGTTGTCTCACTCCTTGGTGTAAGCCCAACACAGCAACCCTGCGAGCAAGGCTCTAGCCAGAGCTGCCCCGCCAGGAACAACAAGACAAACACACGAGCAGTGATTCGTATGCTGTCATTGCCTGATAATTCAGCACAGTCCCTGCTCTTTTCTACGAATGCTGTGGCCAGTCTAAACCAGCAAAAGGTGGCCTAAACATGACAGCGCCGTGACATTGCTTGCAGGCAACGACGTTACCATTGCGGTGGGTGAACTCATCCTTCGACGGACAGCTGCCCAGGCCAGCTGCGATTGGACACGCGCATGAGGGGAATCTATTTTTTTCAGTCTAACCAAGCTTGCGCTGCCCAAAACTTGTCCCACTTGAGTACAGGAGCATGGAGGATCCGGATTGCCCCTTTTATTTGTAGCTCCAACGCAAACGCCGACATGAAATCATGCCCTACAATTGCTTGCCACAGCCTTGATGTCCAGGTTTCGTGCTTGTCCGGGGTCAATTCGTGCTGCTTTGGTGTTGGACGCTGCTGTTCATGCGAACAAGCATGACCACCACGACGCTGTGGGGGGGGGGGGCAAAGAGAGGTTATAGTTCGTTTTTGTGAATGCAACTTTGATCAAATGAAGGGAAGCAACCTTAGAGATTTAGAGCGGAATGATCTCAGTACAGGACCCCAACAGCGATGGATGATCCGGCAGACATGAGCCCAGGCTCAACACAAAGCCACAGCAATACGCTGAGCAAGAACCAGCGCTATGGTTAAGGGAGATGCATGGCGCATGAGTAAACCATGTGCTGATCGTTGCGATCTTGGCGCTTCAGCCAGGAAAACGTGCTCCACGCAACGTGCGGTAGACATGCGCAAGTACACGTCAGGCTTCAGGAGACAGGGGAACCGCTTCCCGGAGTCGCGCTTTACTCTGTGCTTGGCGATTTGGGGTCAGAGGTGTGCTTATGCGTGGTGCTTGGGCGCCAAGCTTCCTGTCTCACAACTCTGACAAATCAGAGCCGGGCTTCCAAGGTTGCCCAGCGAAGCTTCTCACTGACGGCCACGGCCACGGTCCATTCCACTCAGTTTTCAACGGTGGTGCATGTTCGGGACCCTGCCGCAGCGCTGCTAGCGAGATTGCTAGAGCGCCATTGGATTCACCGCTGTTGGGGAATGACGAAATCGAGGAATGATTGTTTCTTGGGAGAGGTTGCGGTTTTACTTGGACCTTGCTTGCCTAAGCTCTAACAATTTCATGCGGGTTTATAAGACGAGACTGATTTGATTATTCCAGGCCCTTCGGACCCTGGCCTCGTGGCCTGCACGAGGCGGGGGGAGGGTCTGCCTTTTGGAACGCTTGGTCGTGCACCCAATTCGTCTTACATGGCAGGTTCCTGCAAGGGGGGTTGAGTACCATTGGGCGCAGCAGGTCGGTGGACGGGTCCCCAAACACATGGGTTTGTCTCCAAGGGTAAATGTGGCTAGGGGGGCAGTTCTTTTAAGTGTTCTTTGGCCATGGGGCATATCCCATGGCTCCATTTTGGGGTGGATGAACATCCATTTGCCAGCTTTTTTTGATGTTCACCAGGGGTACAGGGTTTTGACCCACAGCCCTTTAAAGCTAATTTCAGCAAGCTCACTCGTTTGGCACATTGCGGCGTGGCAAGGAGTTCGACTCCCGGGCCCAACCTTCCATGGTGCCAGCTTTCGGTCCGCAGATTGGACCTCGTGCCCCTATTTTTCCAGAGGCTTGCAAGAACATGCTGTAGCATGTTAACCTCGTTCCTCTCAAGCTCGGCACGTGGTTCTTGTGCCTACTTCGGGGCGCCAGGTGCCCCCAGACATGAACGACCGCAACCTTCGCGAGGCTTCGCGCTACTCTGATGAGAGCGAATGCATCTCGGCCTCAGTGCCAGACCATTTGGTTGCCAACACCTGCAAGCGCACGCACAGATAGTACACAAAAGCACACCGGCAGACAAGCATGGGAGCAGACACGGCGTTTTCAGCCGTGTTTGCCACTGCTATCTCAACATCCCTGGGGCTCCAAAATGACGATTGCCTCCAGGCCACATGGTCCTAAACTGACGACATTTGTGCGTTCCAGTTGCCAGGCAAACGCAAGCATCTTGCGTCTCAGGCAGCTACTTGGTGGACCTGACCTTGACACATCAAAGTGAGGTGCAGCCTCGACCCAAAGGGTGCCCCAAGGGAAAGCCCGCCCTGGGCTGCGTTTGGGGTGCTGATAAGGTGTCCTGTCGTAGTTGGTTGCCAACACACTGGTGGAATAGTTCTTCCCTTGGCGGGAGTCATCATGGAGGAATTGTCGTTGCATGGGGGGGTAGGAGATTTGCAGCTCCTGTCCGCCGTCGGATGGTTGTGGCCCAGAAGGGTGTCCGTTCAACTGCTGACAAGCATACTCAAGGGAATTGCCCATCATGTGGCAGCACCCCTTCTGGAAGTCCAAAGGCCCTGGCAGTGGCCGTTTGTCAAAGGGCCTTTGAAAGAAACATCGAAAGGGCATTCCCACTTGCTTCGAAGTAGCCAAGAAGCTTCCCCCACCAAAAATCTCTCGCCGGCCCACAGAATTGCTTTTGACGCATCCGAGCGCTGTGAAGTCCAGCCCCTCTTTCTTGTTTTGTCATGATCGGTATAGTGAGTCAGAGGGGTCAACGCTTACCACATTGAAATCGCTGCGCAACCAAGAGTTTGTTCGTGTTCACGAGCGCACGAAGGTGGCCTGGCTTGCGTGACAAAGGCACCACGATTGGAAAGGCCGTTTGGCGCACGTTCGAAGGACCTCCTTTGATTGAGAGCAAGCCTTTGGAGAAGTGGTTCCCGATGTTGAGGGGCACTCTACGCCAGGCGTTCCCGATGTTCAGGGGCACTCTACGCCAGGCGCCCCCAGACGCCGCTACCTGGGACGAGCTTCAATGCTTCGCTTTCCTGGACGCTGAGCGCTCACGGCTGCCCTGGCGCGCCTTCTACGCCGCCTGGACCTGTGGGTTCCGGTGCTTTCCGAGCTGGCCCAGTTTGCAACATGCACCGATGCAAAGGGGTATTTATTTGTGATGGCCACGCAAGTGGCACATTACATGCAGTTGCGCAGCCATGTCTGTGGTAGAGCAAGAGTGGTGTCATGGGAAGGCCCTCGTGAGCGAACGCCGATTGGCGTAAGCGGGCGTAGGCGCTTTGTGGGAAACATGACATTATGTTGAAGCAAGCAGGGCAGGGTTTGCTTTTGCCTAACGCCAGGACCGTTTACATCTCATGGTGCAAGTCGGCTTCCTTCATGCAGATATGTTTTGTTCACACTGCGGGCCGCCAGGGCTCTGCCATGGCAGGTCCTCAAATCATGTTTGTTGTCATGCCTGCACCAGAACCTGATTGTGATGCAATTTCCGTTCTCGCCTGCTGCCCGCCCAGCTTTCAGGTACCCTTCTCGGGTGCGCGGAACCAGTTTGGTCGCTACTGCCTCTACCGGAAGCGCGCTCCATGAATCGGAAAATGTCGGTTGTTGAGCTGGGCGCGTTTTGATGTTCAAGCTTGCGTCTATTAAAGCCGACATGCCGGCTTTGTTTTCAGCTTTGTCCATGGTCCCCCCCGTGGCCCCCCAGAAGGCAAACAATACCCTTGAAGCGCCTTGGGTCCCCCCCTCCCACAAACATATTTGCACCTCAGAGGGATGCACCTGATGCTTGACTCCGGGGAGGCTCGAGGCAAAGTGCAGCTGGAGGTTGAAATAACATGCGGCAAATTGGGGATGGATGAAGGTGAGGGAGGGGGACCTTTGAGGGGGCTTGCTTCTGGAGACCAGTCACCACACCCTATTTGATTCTCACTTAATCGCTGTTGATGGCAATCTTGTGCGCTTGGTCGAGGAGGTCACTGAAACCTTAGATCGCGATGCGAGGAGGGCCGACGACGAAAGCCTTTAGAAGGCGGGGCGTGAGAGAGGCCTCGTTTTCCTCGTGGGTCAAAGCAGGCCTTTTTATTTTTGACCTTAAACGTTTCTTTCCGGCCTTGGTTTATGTTCAGCCCTTGTCCCAACAGGTTTGACTCTGTCATTCACGGGCCAACGGGCCTTTCTGGCAAGAGGAATTTAAATGTTGAAATACGGAATCCGACCACAGCTATGTTGCCGACTTCGGGAGTATCCCTCCGACCCCTTTCGAGCAGCTCCTAGGCAAAGGATTACTGGGTTCCCTTGGGGTCGCACGATGTCCCACGGATTCCCAGGTAGAAATAAAGCCCGTTCTTGACCTCCATGTCTTTGTGGGATTTTGGCTGCCAGGCGATGACTGCCCCGTGTGCTTCGAGGCCGCCCGCTCGAATCGCGGCGCGGGCAGATCTCCGTGCCGCAAGCGGCGGGTACGGGTAGCTTTGCCTTTTGGGGCCAAGCTAAAGAGAGTTTCCGCTTGGTGGGGTGATGATTTAGAGGAAATAAGGGGAACCGTGTTCATCCCTGGCAAAAGAAGTGGGATTGTACGTGTTCACGGGTCGGGGGCCTGCCCTTGCTTGGAGGCAGCAAAAGGAAGCTAATGGGAAAGAGTCATCGTTTTGAGCCTAATTTTGACACGTCCATGCACTGTCCAAAGACCTATAGGGGTGGCCATTGCCGAGACGGCCAATGTGTTCGCCCAAATGCCAGCCAACAAGCTTCTGTTCGAACTGGGTGTGCTTCTGTTGAGTGCTCCATTGGTTGGGGACATGCACTTGGTTGGTGACATGCACTTGGGTAGACGAGGGGGTGCCATGCCTTCATGCCTTCATGTGCAAAAGCCGCTTTTTTAGTATCCACGCGCACCGTGAGAAGGTTTCTAGCAGCCGTGCGCTGGAAGTTTGCGGAGCAAGCCTTCAACAGCTTCCGTGTTTTTCAGTGACGTGCTGTGCTGGTGGGCGCTCTCAGCCGCATCTCTGCCCGTTGCCCGCCCTCCTGTTCTGAATCAGCATCCCTTGTGGGCCTCGCTTGTCCACAGGACCCATGTCAGCTCAAAGTGTGCAAGGTATTGGCTAGCCAACCTGCTATCCCACTCAACTTGGCACAACATGTGCCGTCACATTCAGATTCAGCGAAAAACAGCTTCGGCCTGGTTAGCTGAAAGATGTGTGCCGGCAAGTGTTATTGTTGATGGTGTGTGTGTGTGTGGCCTGGCTGAGTTACTTTGGGCACTGTTGAAATCTTGCTGTTGGACCGTTCGCCTGATGATCAACATGCGCAGCTTGAGTTGAGTCCAGTTTGCGGCTTGAAGGGCTTGGCAGTTGCCTTGGACAATTCTTTGCAGGCTATGGAGGTGGCAGAAGAGGCTGAAGGCGCGCTTGAACTTGGCAGTGTTTGCCTGCAGCCAGGCCAATCTGACAATCACGAATGTAAGTCAACCCACACATTGGGCCGGCCTCGGCTTAGGCAAGGTGATTTTCTGCTGCGCGTGCGGGAACAACTTCCACAAGGATTGCTTGGCCCCCAGCAGGGAGGGGGGGATGCGGCCTTATTTGCAGGGAGTCTCCTCCTAGCCAGCTTGAAGGCATTGGGGTTTAAAGTTACCATTAATTGTTCAGGGATTTGTAAATCCCAGTTTATCCTCATCCGCGGTTTGGCTAATTTTGGCATCCGGCGACTCACAGTTGCTTCGACTGGCAACTTGCTTGAGGCATCCGGCGCTGGCAAAAGGCTTCCTCCGGAACTTGCCCCTTATGCGGGGACCCAAGGGGCAACGAGGCCGGCAGGTGCCACGTAATTTGTTCAAGGAGGTTTTGGTTGCTCTCCCAAGGCATTTCCTTAGCAGCCATGGTCAAGCAATGTGGGCTTGGTGTTTTGCCCTATTCATTTGAGCATATTTTGTGGCATGCCCATGTTCGTGAGGGGCCGGTGGCAAGCTGTCAAGCATGGAGAGACGAAGCTTGGAGCACCGCTGGCACCGCGAAGGCGGTTGCGTGCGAATCCTGGCTTCAGAAAACAGCACCGGCTTCGTGGCACGTGAAATTACGTGATTGACCGTGCAGCTGAACGGGGCTGTTGGCAAACAACGAGTGGTTGAAGTTAGGCTAGGTGTGGAGCCCAAGACTGATTTTTCTCATCCAGGGGTGACATGGTTGAGAGCCCACAAGCTGGACTCCCGGCTTCAGGCCAGAAAGTATCATTGTTTCTGTTGCGGGTGTGCGCTTTTCCTGCGATGCATGGCGGATGGCATTACTGACCCTTCGCTGGAGGCCATGCGGCATCACCTGGACTGGTCAAGCAAGCAGCGCCGCATTCTGACAGCCAACGGCACGGCGGAGGGCTTCTATTGTGCTGAGAGGGGTTATGACTACGACACGGCTGAACTGCCGCATCACTTCCTGATGCATTCCACAACCCTAGGCTCCACTCGCCGAATGTTTGAGAATTGGCGGGAGACAACAGCTCGGTGTCCCATTGTTGGCGCTTGGAGCCGCCCGTTGTTCTATGGAGGGTGGGAGCATTCAACAGACCGAGACGAGGCAGTCTTCAACCTGCAGACAGGATCCCTCTTTATCGACCTTCGCGTGCCCCTCACACGCAAAACGCTTTTGGAGGCGCCAGGTGCCCGCATCACATGCCTTGAGGATATGGATGCTTTGCAGCTGGCCTGCTATGCTCGCCAGCACATTTTCGCCGGCTTTTCCAAGGCGGAGAGCCAGCCTCATCCAAGCCTGAGTTGGGGCTGGAGTTGCACCAGGCACCACTGCATTGATTGGAACTTCGTAGGTGTTGGCCGCACTCGCCCCAACAAGTGGTGGGTTGAGCTGGGCAACGATGCTTGGAAGGAGTGGGCGTTTGCCACGGACCTTGCAGGCCAGCACTACTACTGCGAGCGCTGGGAGAGGTATTGCGGATCAGCCGTTGGACCGGTGGTTGCGCTGCGCAAGTCTCAGGATCCAGATGGGGTCATTGTAATCGTTGGCGATCATTTTAATTATTGCCTGGATCGCAGTTGCAGCCTGGGTGAAGCACAAGCAAGGTACCCCTCAGCGACATCACTGGTGGATCTTGTGGATGCGGCACTAGCGCAGCATGATCTGAAGACAGCACGTGCATGCTTGAGCATTCAGGGAGGTCACGGGCGGATTTCCAAGGGATGGCAACTGGACTGTGCCATTGAATTTTGGAAACAAGGAAGGCCGCTCTGGAACAGAGAAGAGGTGTCCGTCACAGGCATCTCTCTGGACGATTGCATCGTTCTTTGGAAGGGTGAAGAGTGGTCAGTCTTCGAGTGCAGCCTTGATTCTCCGCAGGCCCTGGCTGCACTTCTGAGGACAAGCTTGTCCAGCTTGTAGCTGGCTTTCGGGCGAGAGGCAATCAGCCTAGCTTTGGCCACAAAGTCCTGGGTCGTGCCAAACTTTGTTGTGTTTGGGGGCGAGGACCTCTTGAGCAAGCAGCTTCAGCAACCCACTTTATCAATAATGCAGAATACGTCTACCACAAGTAGTGCGTGATGCTCACTTGAAGCAGGTTGCCACTCGCTGATGTCTAGCTGCACATTGACATGTGGAGTGTCGGCCAGCCTTGCCCAGGCCGCGAGCTGGGACGCCCGGTGTGTTGATGGGCAGGGCAAGTGGCTTGGAAGGAGATGGCCCGTGCTGGTTCTGGCTGTTGAGGGCCAAGCGCATATGCCACACGCAGGCACGCACGCAGACAGGCAGACAGACAATATAGAGAAGACGAGAGGACAGAGAGAGAGAGAGAGAGAGAGAGTGCGAGGCAGAAAGACGCACGCACGCATGCACAGCCGCACGCACACCTGCACGCACAACTGCACGCACACGCACATGCCCTGCTCTTGTGCACGCACGGCATGGCACGGAATCGTTGTTTTTGCGCTCGCAGGCGCGTATGTGCACGTGTTAGAGAGATTGATGGCAATAAATTTAATTTGTGCGGGCCAATGCGCGAATAATGTGCGTGTGTATTGCCAAGCCGGCCTCGGTTACCCTCCCAAGGTTGTGAGATGCGAGAATTTGCTGATGCCTCTTTGACAGTTGAATCCCCAATCACGCAGGTAAGGGCCACAATTTCGCCTGTAGTTTTGCAGTGCGCTACGGTTGGAGATCTTGATTTGTTTGGTGTCGGGTAGCCTCACGACACCTAACAAGCCTGGAGGCAAGCAAGGAGAAAAACCTTTTAGAAGCCAACAAATGCCGCAACTTGGCCTCACACATTGGGCTGGAGCGGCGCGTGTCAGGCCTTGGCACGCACCCGCCAAGCTGGGGCCTCGCTTTTGTCGGTGTTTGGGCTTATTGGTTTCTATGTTGGGTTCGGTTTGGTAGGATTTGGTTGGGTTCAGTTGGATTGGTGGGGTTCGATTGGATAAGTTCAGTTGGATAGGTGGGGTTGCTTTGTAGCCATTCGCAGCTCAGGGTTCAACTCCCCGCTGACCTAGGACTCCTTTCATGTTGGGTAAAACCTATGTCCAAACTTTGTCAAATCGGCCAGCCTTAGACCCAGCTGATATGGACCTATGGCTTCCCCACATCAACCTTCTGGGTCCGAGCTTCCCATTGACTTTGCCCGTGGCACAGGTGATCACACCCGGCAGCTTGCCCAAGGGTTGAGTTCATGGAAGTCGGCCAGCACATGGCTGCTGAATTGCCGTAGTCCATGTTGCCAAGGCCCCCGAGGGAAACGAGTCTCGGTTTCTTCTGGCGCCCTCTCAGGCACGTGCTGCCAGGCTGCTGCCTCCCAAGCATAGCCAGGCGAGGGATCATGCCGAGACATCGAATGGCGGTTGGGCAAATGCATGTTCGCAGCCCCTCGCGAGCTGAAAACCACATGATGCAATTACGCCTAAGCATGGTATGCATCATTTGGCTGTAAGTGGTTACATCCCCCGGCAAAGTCAACAATCCGATGGGCCCAACAACGTTGCGAAGCATGCGGCATGCATCCGAATGTTGAGAAACCTGCAGAGGCTACATGTATGAGGAACATGGACTGATCAAGGTTAATATTAGTGAGTGAAGCGCATTTTTGCTGGCCGAAACACACTTTTGCTGGTCCAAAGGTAAAGGTGGGCAGCTTTTGCCAGGTCCAGCTCCTTCAATGGCATGACCTACCTGAATCTTGCAAGCCGCTAGCGGTGCTTCGTCCACTGAGCGGCCTTCCACCCGGTGCAAAATGGTGCAAAAGAGATGGCCCGTTCCCGCGCCACACGGGATCAAATTAGATGCCCAAGCTGAACCCCTGGGCGTGCAGAGAAGTGCGCGCACTGGGCAGACAACTCGTAGCAGGATAAAAGCAACCGTGCAAGGGCTCCAATGCGCAATAGGGACGCATGGGCGCTTGAATTGGTCAGGGCTGAGACTTCCGGAGCTTTGGTACCACCAACCATTGACATGCAGTGCGCATCAGGCCACGTCAGTGCCTGTTGAAACATGTTGAAACGGTCCAGCGCCGCCCTGCCGTGCTGGATCTTGTGCGATTCGGGCCCGCTTACGCGCAGTCGGGCGCTTCAAGGCTCCTGCTGCCTGGCTGCAAGTTTAAGCCATGGCAGCTCGTCAGCAATTTTGTGTGACTAGGTTTTACACTTACTTTCATCATTCCAGTTGAGGGAACAGGGGTCTGACACTTGAAACATGTTGAGAAGTTGCATTGGGCCAGTAATCCTTTGCATGCATGCTGGGGCAAAGTGGAGAAGAGAGGCGCGGCATGCCTTTGCAGTGACCCCCTTTAGGTCACAGAGCTGCCTAGTTGGGAGCTCAGGAACAGCCTTGCGCACCAAGCAGGCCTCGCCTCTTCGTTTCTTTCGTTTCTTGGGCTGAGGTTCCATCATCATGACTAATTTGCCTAGCTTCGGCCTCAGAATTGCAAAGCGATTGTCACGGTTGATGACTACGGCACCAGGCCATGAAATGGCATGAGGGGAAGGAAGACATTTCCTGGAACTTGCTCATAGTAGAGTAAGTTTGGATCATGTTTGTCTTGGCTTAGCTTGTGTTTCTGATCATCTCGCAGCACGGGTACGGCCGCTGCTGGGCGGACGTGCAGACGGGCGGTAGCAGTGTGTGCCGGCTGTTGCGCTTGAGCATGTCACCCGTGGACGACGAGGTTCGCAAATCAACGACGAGAAGATGGGTGAGAATCTCGGAAAGGGCCACCAGTCTCAAGTCGAGTTAGGTCAACCAAGCACCCTGGCTTGGTCGACTATATCGACTGAACATGAAACCGAAAACTCGATCATTCTTGGAGAAAACCATAGAAAACCCCTTTTTGCGGCACACCCCCCTTTTTTGGGTTTCACGTCAATTTGCAGAGGGCCAAGCCGAGAGCTAGGTTTGAAAGACGCTAGGTCTCGGCTTCCGATGCCACCACTGCGCCCGGAGCCTGGCCAACCTCCAAACTTGGCTCGAGGCAGCGCAAAAGGACCTGAAGTGAAGGCGAGGGCAGGGTTCCATTGGCCTCTCAGATGCCTCAGACCGAGCGCTCAGCCGCCTGCGCTTTGGATGAGGCTAACAGGTGAAGGATCACTGCTCCAAAATGCCGCACCCCTCATAAAATTACAAGCGAGTTCTTAGTCCTTTGCATGCGGCAGGCCATGATTGAGCAGCTGTGCTTCTCAGGTTTCTATCATTGACGAAGGCATGCCCGTATACATGGGCCAGCCACCGAGACAGCTTGTGTCAGATCGCTTGTTTGACTGGACTGCTAGCTACTAGTGATTTATCACAAGAAGACGGTTCAAGTTGTGCCGCTAGGGAAACCTTAGTGCATTTTGCTTGGATGGTAGGACTGGAACTTTTTGCCAACTAATGGGTTTTCCATCAAACCACTAAAAGTGAAACTTTAAGCAGGGGAGCAGAAAGCAACCGAGGAAAGCGTATGGAAAGGGTGTTTCCCTCTGCCGCTGGAGCATTGCTCTTGTTGCCGCGGCGGCCCGAGGCCACGATGCCAGCTACTGCAGCTCTGGCTGCAGAAAGCGAGGTCGATCTGCCGGGCGACCCAGCAGTCAGTAAACGTGCTTCACCAGTCAAAGCCGAGAGCATGTGCAAGACCCGGCTCTGGCGTGCAGGCGGAATATGCACGGCTCATGGGGATCAAGCACGTAGATGAGCCGCCAACTGAGTCTCTGCTGTTGGTTTGGGCCGAGTGCAGACCGGTGGGCTGCGATCTGGCTCAGAACTTGCTAACAAGGACCGAAGTCTCCTATGACAATGCCAGCATGTACAGCAGCCTGGTGTCTGAATCGCCCAAGCCCAAGTTGCGTGCGTGAGTGCGTGGGTGGCTGGGTGGCTGGGTGGGTGGCTGGCTGGCTGGCTGGCTGGCTGGCTGGCTGGGTGGGTGGGTGGGTGGGTGGGTGGGTGGTTTGGTGTGTGTGTGTGCAGCACAGGTGCTGTCAGCAGCGTTCGCAAAAATGTCATAGTCGTCATCAGCGTAGTCGTTGTCGTCGTCGTTGTCCTCATCATGATCGTCGTCGTCGTCGTCGTCGCCATCATCATCATTTGGCAGTGATTTTTTGAGGGGTCTGTAACAGAGCCGCGGCGGACATTCGTTACAGACCTCGTTACAGACCTCTGTAACAAAACCAGCTGGCTCGTTACACACCCCTCGTTACACACCCTCGTTACACACCCTCGTTACACGCCCTCGTTACACACCTCAGATGAGCAAACCGGGCCAGTGACGTGACTGCCCTCCTTTTGCCGCAGCTTGGCTTGCGTTGAAGAGCTGCAATCAAGTGCTTTGCTTTGCCTTGTTACAGGCCTCGTTTCATAGCCGTTACATACCTCGTTACAGACCCAACCCCAGCCCGGGCCAGCGACCCCGCTTTTTGCCGCAGCTTGGCTTGCGTTGAATAGAGCTGCGGAGGCGTGCTTTGCGTGCTGCGCTTTGCTTTGCCTCGTTACAGACCTCGTTACATAGCCGTTACATACCTCGTTACAGACCCAGCCCCAGCTTTTTGCCGCAGCTTGGCTTGCGTTGAGTAGCTGCAAGCAAGCTGGTGCTGCGGAGGCGCGCTTTGCGTACTGCGCTTCGCTTTGCCTCGTTACAGACCTCGTTACATAGCCGTTACATACCTCGTTACAGACCCAGCCCCAGCTTTTTGCCGCAGCTTGGCTTGCGTTGAGTAGCTGCAAGCAAGCTGGTGCTGCGGAGGCGCGCTTTGCGTACTGCGCTTCGTTTTGCCTCGTTACAGACCTCGTTACATAGCCATTACATACCTCGTTGTGCTGCGCTACATCGTGCTACTGATACTTCTTGTCAGGCAATGTTTGTCCCGTTACAGACCTGCGTAACAAGGACCTCCGTTACAGACCTCTGTAACAAGATTCGTGGCGCGTCGCGCGTGACAGACCCCTAAAAAAATTCATAGCCATTTGTTG